CGCACATGTCCGACTCGACCCGACCCAATCCAGCCCAGCCCGGCCCAAACCAGTCTAGCTTGGTTTAGAAGCCCCAGTTTGACCCGACAGCGAGTTCTGAGCAGTCTGATTCACTTACAGAAGGTGCGAGACGATATGATGAGCTTGATGAGCGATTGGAGTACCTTGATGACTCGATTAGAATCGAAAAAGGCCATGTCCAGCTGCCCATAGGACTTTGATGTTCAGAAGATCTCCATCAACGAAAATCAGAAACGTCTCAAAGTCGGCAAAAATTTTAAACCGTAAGTCCTAATTCTAACTATAGATTTCGCTGCATTAGGATTTATTATTCAATAAATTATGTGTGATTTTATAAAATCATAGAGTTTAAGGGTCCATTTTGCCTTATATAGTTAAGGTAATTGGGAACACTTAGATCGGTTCATAGTCCCTTCAGATAGAAGTTATATAGCTCATGATATAGGCGGTTATATCAGTCCAGTTAGTTAGTATCTGTTTTTGCTTATCTTATATGCCTTATGTGTATTATTTATTTTATATGCCTTGTCTGCTTATCTGTTCTCACCTATAATAATAAGATAAAAATTATTAATTATAGATTAACGAAGAGTTGAGCCCTCTGCCTACCTTCTGCTGACCTTTGTGTATTTGTCTTTCTCGACTAATCAGATGGGTGTTTATAAACCTTACCGTGTATGTTATTCTTTATAATTGCTTGTCTTGATAATCAATGTATGCATGTGAACCGTTAGTATATGAGAGGGTCTCACGTTAATGTTGTGCTGACATTCTCCTACTTTAGCCTATAGAGAGGTTCTCCCGTTGATGTTGTGCCGACAGTTTAGATGTGATCACATGAGCGTAGGGCTATTTAGAAGGTAGACTAGACGATTTGTGTCCATGTTGCGATTATGAGTTTAAGTCATTATATTGGATAGACTGCATGATATTCCCACAGTGAGCATATTGGTCGCTCACTCCTACTATTTTTCCCTTTTCAGGTTGAGCTGGTAGTCGTGGCGAAAGATGAGCAAGGTCGGGTCATACTTATTTGTTGATTATGAACTGTTGTTTGCTTCCGCCTTCTTATCATATTTTCTTATCATCTGCCAGACATGTTGGAATATCAGTTTTGGAGACTGGATCATGTACTCGATTATTATTCTTGCTTGAATTATGAACTCGGATATTTCTTATGTTTGAGATTATCATTGAGGCATGTTTATTTGTTTGTCTTGAGAAACATCTTATCCTGCATTCACAAACTAAGCATATTGATATACGTTATCACTTTATTCATAATTTGGTGGATGATGGAACAATTGTGCTAGATTAAGTACCTACTGAAGATCACCTTTTTGATATTTTTACTAAGACACTTGATACAAGACGTTTTCTATCACTAAGGAAATTACATGGATGTGTATTATGTAAGTGTGTCTGTGTGCTGCATTATTATGCTTGTATACATATAACTTCTATGCACGTCATGTAAGTTTATTCCATTGGCCATCCCTATTACTGTGTTTGTGTTGGTTCACATTGATGTTTGATATTTGATATGGTTGGACCAAATCCATGAATTGTCTGCAATATAATTACCATTAAATTCTGCTTGAAAGAGCTAGATTCATAAAGATGAGCATTGGGCAACTATCACATGAGGTGCTTCATATGATCATCTATAAAATGAGTACGTGCTTAAGAATTTTTGAGGTGCGAAAGCTACTAGCAGTCACCGCTTTTGTGATGTTACTCATCAAGTGTACTTAAGGTTGGCCATGTAGTTTTTTTTTGTACAACACTGGGATAACTACATCCTAAAGCAGTGGGCTTGACTTTAGCGTATAGTTGTTGTTAGTAAGTGAACTAGGGTGTGGAAGTTCACAAGAACGGGACCAACATACCAAAAGTACTTCGAACAAAAACTTCGATTATTTCTAAGAGAAAATGGGTTCTAAATCTTTATGACTCAAAGTAATAAGGTTGACTGTCGTTGAAAAACTACGATTATCACTAAGTGAAACGTGTCATGTTAATTCCATGTGATACAAAAGTTGGAGTTATAAGTTAGTGTGTTAAATCGTGTTGGTTCATCCATAATTAATTAGCATTGTGGTCATGAAGATGGTTTGAAAAGAAAATGTTGAATGATTGAATGAATATTGTCTAATTAAATGCTGAATTATGGTAACATTGTATTGCATGATATATAATAATTATATATATAATTATATATATATATCATTTTATATTTTTTTAAGGCACAATTGCATGTGATTTTTAAAATTGTTGATTTATTACCTTATTCGTGCTAACTTATTTTTGGTACTAAATCTTGCCATGCGATTCATCTGAAGCTACATACTGAATATTTGGTAAGTCGCGTGAATTGTTTGGTAAGTGGATATTTTGGAGCGAACGGTTATATCATATATGCTTTTGTTTATTCAACAAGTTTGAAATCCAAACTTCAAAAACTTGAATCGTCTCGTCTTGTTCTTGTTCCTAGTTGGTTTTCCAATGCACAACCATTATATCTTCTCCTCGATCCAAACGTGATCTTCCTCTCCTGAAATCTCTCTCAATCTGCCGTCTGAAATCCCTAACTGTCTCATCTTTCCAATTTGAGTTCTCATACTCCTTCTAAAACACACCACCGTGCCCCGGAATCAAGCAATCCCCAGTAAAGAAGAAGAAACATGGTGCAGAACCTTCTCCACGCTCAATTTGTGAAGGCGACATTTCCGAAACTCCAACCAACACAGCCACCTCAGAAATGACGATTGACGATCCACTGCCGACCAAACCAATGGAGACCTGAGTTTCTCCTAGTCCCAAGAAGTCGACCACTTCAATGGCGGTTTTCTCCAGTGTTGCTGGCGAAAAGGATGTGGTTGTTGCAAAATATCCGTCTACCACAAAATTTCTAAGGACGCTTAAGAAGACAACATCCACTCAACCTGAAGATGAAAAACCAATGAAACACTAAAAGACTGGTGTTGCCACTGATCCTCCTTTGGTCTCTAAACCTCCACCAAAGTCTGATGGTGAATCGTCACGGGACTCCAACGAGGATGACGATCTTCTTGAAAAAGAGATCGATGCGTTTGTGGGTGCTGATGGTTATAGAGACAAACCGAGTTCTTCTGGGCATTCTCCTGGTGGTAAGGATGCCCCGTCATCGACGACACAACCGTTGTCAAAATCGCACTTGTTCGATTATCTTCGCTTGTCTGTTGCATAGTTTATCACATAATGAAATTGCACTTGGTATATTATCTTTATTTGTCTGACACATACTTTATCGTATAATGAGATCACACTTTTTAGATTATTTTCACCTTTTGTCACATAGTTTATCGTAGACTTATTCCGCACTTCTTCAATCATAGTCGTCTTTCTGTCGTATTATTTTTTTTGCACTAAGTAGAGTTAAAAAATTAACATACTAATGTACGATGTGAAAAGCTTAGCTCATTGTCATAAAAATGGCTGAAAATGACTATTTACTCTATATTTATAATTAACATATTAATGTACGATGTAAAAAGCTTAGCTCATTGTCATAAAAATGGCTGAAATTGACTATTTACTCTATATTCATTGGGATGTAGTACAATTATTACGGGATTAAACAACGGAAATAGCTTGGCTGGAGACGAGACACATCATTTTCACTCACTTTTTTTTTTTTTTTTTT